TAGTTCAACTCGCTGAATATTAAGACTCAGTTTGGATACCAGACCCAATGATTCCGACTACTTTTCTTATCAAGGGTCCTGTATCACCCAATGTCCACGTGACCAGCATTCCCCCAGATTTCCGGGAAAAGTCGAATAATTCCGAACCTATCCTGTCCATGTTAAATTCAGTTTAACGTCAACACTTTTTCTTTAATGCGTCTCAAAACTGTAAAAAGTAATATTGCTACAAAGATTAAAATTGGTAGCCAAATGGAAGGGGGCGGGGAAACCATTCGGATGGTATCGTTAATATTCGGGCGTTTCCAGCCTCGACTGTGCCAAGAATTTTTTGAACTGTCCGTGTTATACCGGTCGGAGTACACCATCCACTGCAAAGTAGATTTAGGGTCAAAAAATTGAAATATGTTTTTGTTAAATTGATTGAATGTTAGTTTTAAATTTAATGTGTTTTAAGCGAATGTCATTTTTAAAGAGCTCGTATTTTAGAGGTTTAGTATAAATTTTTCAAAACCCAACAAATTCATAAGGATCTCATTTCTTTTTTTAGATTCCAAATCGAGTGAATTTTTAAAGAGCGAATGGATTTTTATATACGCAACGTAACCTCTAGGATTGAATGAATTTTAAAGTAATTTCGAAATTCTTTAAAAATAGAACAGAAAATTTACAATGTGAACATTTGTCGAAATTTAGACATTGTTTTTCTACAAAACAACGGCTTATGTATTATATAGAAATCTCATATTCTGTATTCTGTGAACGCCTCAAAGTGCTTCAAGTGTATTTTTTGAAAAAGTGAAGCATGTTTTGCCAAGATTGTTTTAACGAAGTTTTCACAAGTTGCTTTTTATCGTTGTTGCTAATAAATTTGGATGCTCTCTCATTTAGGATGGCATAAGATTTTGTGTAAATACGTGCACCGAATAGCTGCTTTACGCTAAAAAAAAGTCTTCCCATTTTCAAAATATGTTCAGTCTATTCTGTACAAAATATTTTATTTCAATCTGAAAAAGTTTGGACTTAAACATTAGTTTCAGTCTTCTTAATTTTTGGGCTTTGTAAAAATTTACATTCTTTTTTAAAATTCCTTGGAACCTAGAAAATAGGCTGCGTCAATGAAAATTCATCCACTTTTAAAAACTTCATTCTAGTCTAGAAAAAATGTATTAGATCCTTAAAATTTTGTTCTGCTTTGGAAAACTCTCTTCCAAATTTCTAAATTACAACATTTTTTAAAATGGCATTCACTTTAAAACATGTTAATTTAAAAAATGCTTTCCAATTATCAAAACACGTTCCAATCTTTTCGATCCTAGTTCTGCTTCGTAATTGGGGAGTACTCCGACCGATATAACCCAGACAGTTCACAAACTCTTGGTACAGACACGGCCGGAAATACCCGAATATTACCGATACAATCCGAATGGTCTTTTTATACTCCCTTTACTCATTCTGGCCACCAATTTTGTTCATTTTAATCTTTGTAACATTTTTTTTACAATTTTGAGGAGCATTAAAGTGTTAACGTTAAACTGAATTTAATTTTGACAGGATAAGTTCGGAATAGTTCGACTATTCCTGGAAATCTAGGGGAATGCTGGTCACGTGGACAATGAGTGATACAGGACCCTTGATTGGAAGAGTGCCGGTAGTCAGAATCATTGGGTCTGGCATATAGACTGAGTCTTAATATGCAGCGAGTTTTGAGCTAGTTTTAGCTAACTCGTTGCGGCGAGATACTAAGTCGCCACGGCGAGATAGTAACTCGCCGCGGCGAAAAAGTATCTCGAAAAAGTATTTTTGTAAGTGGCCCTTATACGACTCCGTACAAAAGGACCGTGTAGGACTGTGAAAAACATGAGCCGGCCCGGCTTTGGCTCCATCTGAGGATATTTGAAAAAAAGATATGGGACGGAGAGACCCCCCCCCCTTTGTGTTGGTCATTATTATGACCAGGAATCTCAGGAATTCTTTTCAGGCATGGGGGGGGTGTATCAGTAACAACAGTCCCGAATGTCTATAGGGTTTGGACATGTATGGGGTACTCCTCTGTCACATTTTTTGCCACGTGTAGCCCGACAGACCCTTATGGACTAGGGCGCTCAGTCAAGTGAAGTGTACCACACGAACTGTGCCAATGATATAAAAAGAAGGGTGGACCCACAGGCGTGCGAGCACACAGCAAAATTAAAACGAGACAGCGTGCCCGATCAAGTATGCAGGCAAGCAACAGGAGCAGAATTTGATGTCATGGAGGCGGGGCGGCGCGGGGAGTGATATTGAGTGGTAGTGGTAGTGAAAGGAGCATATTCCTGAAAATGTGAAATCTAAACAGTGCTCTCGCCTGCAATCAATAATTTTAAAAATTTAAATTCACAAATTTCCTGGTTTTACAGGATCATTTGACTTAGTAACTTTTCTCAGCGTCGAACGTACCTGCATTCGCCACTCAGCCAACAAACAGTAATAAACAGGATTTTATCACTTTTTTACCTCTCAGCTATGTATTAATCTTGACAGTTCCGTTATTTCCCGTAGGAAAACTTTTTCAAAACTTGCTTACACGTGTGCGTCTAGTGAGAAGAATTTGGACAGTGTCGTACCGGAAATGTCGATTAATAAAGCATTCAAGTTACCCATGTGCAGTTTAACAGTTGTCAGAGCATGCCGTGCTACGAGCATGCGCAGCTATACTTCACAATAGTAAGATGAAAGCAAACAAAGTGTCTGCAAGTACGGCATGATCACCCAGTTAAAAATAGAAGTAGATCATCGCTCGGGAAAGGCCAATCCATTCAACAGAGCCCAGTAGTCAAATTTTGCGTAACTTGAGGAAGTAATGAAAAGTCCCAACAATTCTAGCGAAAAGAGTGTTGAGTTGTAGGTGGAATCGGCTATTTAACAGGGATCCGTTGTTGACTGCGGTAGCCTACTGGTCGCACACAATCTGTTGTGCTGCATTGCTGGTAGGAACTCCCTGTCCTCTATAGGTGAGTCCATTTGATTAAGAGATAAAAACAAATCTATATACATTAACTAGTAACAGGGCAAAGCTTAATCGTGTAGAATGAGAAGTTTAAAGACAGCATGGAAAAAGGCCATGTGTGTTTTCACAAAGTGTGTGACGATTTCAAAGATTTTCAAAGCAGGGCTTACACAATGAGCGAATGCTGCCGCCTGCTTTACATGTGCACAGCAGGCGTCTGGGAAAAAAACAAAGGGGGAAAATGCACTAATACAAAAGACACAGTATTTGTTAGTTGGAATCAATCATGCAGGCGCGGATCCAGAGGGGGTTGGGGGCTGACCACCCATCAGACACAAAAACTAAAAAAAAAAACTTTAAAAAAAAGCAAAAACAAATTAAAATATTATTATTAAAGATGACATCCACCAGGAGTTATTATTTCTGAGCTCATTAGTAACAATTTAATGTATCTATGTGCACTTTGTAACATTGCAAAAAAAATCTGATAGGCCTGAGCACCTCCCCCCTTTAAAATGTCTACGTCCGCCCCTGTCATGACCACTCAAGAGAAGAAAGTTCACTCCGTGACACATTGGCGTAGTAAGGACTTTACTAGTGGGGCACAAGGGGGCACCAGCATGGGGGCACCATAGCTTTCAGTGGTGCGGTTTTTTGGGAGCAATGAAGCTTTTGTATTCATCCATTAAATAAATTTGCCACAGAACTGTTTCATTTTTGCAAAGTATGATTTTATCTCGTTTTTTAGTGGGAGGCACAAGGAATTGCGGGGACGGGGACACGTGCCCCCAAGGCCCCCCCCCCCGTGGCTACGCCCCTGCCGTGAGAGATAGTAAATGCACCATTTGCTGGTATATGTTACGAGATTATGGAAACTTACAACCCGCAAAGTCGCTCAATGGTTGATTCAAAACCAACTTTTAGGGGGAGGGGCTCAAAATTGTCACTTTGGGGAGAAATTTATGACATTTGTTTCATGTACCGGTGGCCTTTTTGAGTGGATATGCTATATTTTGGGGCTTTTCACAAACTTTTGCGAAGGAGAGGGAGTAAGAAATGTCCCTAAATCTAATTTTTGTTCGCATTAATTAAACAAAAGGGAATAGTTTGCTAGGGGAGGGGCGTGACGGTGCCCCCTGCCTCCATCCGCTAGAGAAATAGTTTAATGAAACAACACATTTCAATTCTTCAAAGTATACATATAGGTATGATCCTGTGCACGATTAGCTGCCGTTGGATGTTATGTGCATATTTATTAATAGCGTTGTTGTTATTCCCCTAAAGTAAAGAGGAATTTGGGCACAGTCGTCTCCATGTTTGCGTGTTCAAAACTGAAAGCGACCCTGGTGAATAACACTTATTTTACCTTGGGTATGAATTATTGTTGTTGACGTGTTTAAAGAATTTCCGTGTTGCGAAAGCGATATCAAAACAGGGGTTTTTTTCTAGCGCAACTCAGAAAAATTCCATTGTCGAAGTTTTTGCCAAAGTCTTGTTTGAAGCTATGCAGCTACAGTTTCCAGTTGGTAGCCTGGGGAGAAAAAACTGAACTTTAATCTTCTTGCCTTGCTTATGTTTGGTTTCTGTCGAACTGGGCTTTAGTATTTCCAATTTGTTTTTATCTATCCCTTCATGTCTTTCGTACTCTGTGCGTTTTGCTCTCTGAGCTTGTAGAGACTTGATTTTGTTTTGTTTGTTATTTTTGGGGGTTCGCTGAAGATATCCTTCAAACAATTGGTATAACCTTTTCAAAATCAAAACATGCTTCAGAGTTGATTTGTTTGTACTTGAAGTTTTACAGCGCAGTTATAGTCGGTTTGATATCCTAACTGAAAGTTTTCCTCGACTAAAATGTTCATAAGTTTAGACAATTTCCCTCAAGTAGCTCTTAAAAGATTTCTGGTTTTGAAATAAGGTTACATTTCAAAGCACAGTACTTTACAAAACGGAAAAGTCCAAGTATTGTGAACACTTTCGAATTGAAATGCTTATATTTTCCCTATTTTTCCAGGCGTTCAGCAAGATTTCTGCATGAGATCACAGGCTCTGCTCGTCTCCATGAACAGCGGGGAACTTAAGCCTTTCTCCTACATCTCTTCTGGGCAAGGAATATTCTCCAAGCCAAAAGATCTCAAATGTGATGTAGATGAAAGAGCTCGCAAGGATCCAAGCATGCGGTGCAAATACCGCCAGACCCTCGAAGACTCCAAGAAACAAGTACCGCTCGAAACCACCAAACGAAATAAAGGGAGAATCTTGGGTAAAATAAGTCACCGCAAGAAGACGAAAAACCAACCAACTGCGGTGCCGAGCCCCAATGAATACCTGGCATTTGAGTCTAGCAAGGAACTTCCTCAGGCAAACGGAGAACACTTGTATGAGACTGCTTGCAATTTGGAATACACTAATGATGAAGACACACACAAGCAAGAAAAGAGACAGGCGATCGTTAGGATCCCTGGACGATCTTCCTACGAAGCACTTTCCCTGCCCCAATCCCCCCACCTCCATCAAAAGAGAACCCCAGAAAGACGGACACCCGAGCACAATCACAAAGTCTCATGCAAGATCCAACCCAAGCTGGAGAGTTTGTCCGAAGACGCAGAGGCCGGTCAATGCATCTACGATGATGTCATCTACGACGATGGCATCTACGAAGACGTAATCTGTCCATCGTTTGATTCTAATGATCTGTGCACCAACAGCAACCTGTCCTTAAACTCATCTCTTGACGAAGGGAAGGCTAACAGTAGAGGCTTGTTATCGAAAAAGCAATCGTCTTACAGCAGCATTACACCGGTCAGTGAATCTCCTAGCGCGCTTGAAAGAATGCGATTGCCCATTGAATGGAAATTATAGCCCAAGCCACGCTTGATATCAACCTCCCCAAAAGAAGACGCATCCAGAATCTTACAGATCCATGTACATGTATACTGAAAAGTGATCATGCACTCAAGAACTTTTCACACTGTCTTGAAATTATGTAACCAGTAACTTCGCTTCGTATATGGAAGCCGGATCGTGCCAAGGGATTGCTCACGCACATTTTAGGACCACTCGTGTATAAAAATATATATATTTTTTCACACCATCCTCTGGCGGGCGCCACTTATTATACGTATTATGTGGCGGCCGTCAGATAATAAGATGGAGTGCAAACAGTAAAGCATATGTCCCCCTGATAAATGTGCCCCCGGACACTTTTACCAGTTTGCACCCCTGGGGGACAGATAAATTTTGTCCCGGCCTGCCCAACGGAATAGTTGCCCCCCCCCCATGTACCCGGAGCCATGCACCACAACTAGTGCGTATCAAAAGCACAACGTCTAGACCAAGACTACACCGAGCCATGCCTACAGACTGAGAATTACTACGCGTGCGAGAAGGCTGCAGAATACGGACTGCCCCCGTCCGATTTCTTGCACAAACATAGATTGGTTTATTTTAATTCGCATAGGCCTACCTCCCCCCCCACACAACTTGATGAAGGCTTAAAAATCTAACTGTATCATCTGGACTTTATTCAGCAATCTGACACGAAAATAACAACTTCTGTGTGGGAAAACGAGGAGGACAGAGTTACCGGGTCAGGGGGGAAACTTTTACTTCGAAAAATCTTTCCCCCAACAGTTTTACTGGGGGACAGATTTACCGTCTACAGCGGCCGCCACTTTATTAAATGGTGGCCGTTAGATAATGGTGTCAAAAAGAAATGTACATGTGCTCTTCAAAAAAGAAGGTCGCATGCTATCCCTTAGCACTATCCGGCTTTCGTATAATAAATACGTGCATGGTACTGGCGATTTTAATCTTGTTGCAGAAACAAAACAAACAAATAAATAAACAACAACAACCACCAAACTGCAGGTGTAAACTGAGGTCATAAATTACAATTGGGTACAGGCCTACATCACAAAGTAAGAGAGGAATAATTGAAAACAAAGGACATCATTTGCAGTTCACAGTATGCGACACCGCCAGGAGGCTGATACTCAAATCATTATTCAGTCGGGACGTACATCTATATTTAAATATTTTCCCGTTTTGTTGTGTTCTTTTTTGCAGTCGAATTCCATCAATAAATACACGTCCAACGACGAAGATGCCCGATACTCAACGACAACTGCCTCACTCTCTAAGTACATACCAGCCACTTCCAAAACGCAAAAGCCTCCGAAACCTGCACCACGCACTTCGCTCAAGTCTATTACTTTACGCACATCTCAGGACAACTGTCTACCTAGATCCCGCGAACTCCCTGAGATCCAAGTTCTTCTTGATGAAGCCTGGGAGAAGCTCACAACCTCCGACAGCCACAACTCATCTACAGTGGCTGTAACCAACGCTGACTTTACGGCGCGACTTCTAGACAGCAACGGCGGTCGACTGCAGCTTCAATATCACGGGGTGACCCTCGATATCCCGCCTGGTGCTCTCGAGGCCCGGCGGATGGTGTATATACATGTTCAGCGTAGCTTGGAGCTCTCACCGACCGGGATTGATGGCTTCGCTAGCCCCCTCGTCCACTGTGGAACTTCTGGTCTGAAGTTCAAGAAACCTGTCATGCTCACTTTCCCCGTACACCTTGAAGACTCGTCGGCATGGGAAGTGAGGGGAGTGCGCACCAAAGACTCTCTTGACGCACCTTGGGAAGACATTTCTGAGAGCCCTCATGAGTCCTTGGTTACAGTAAAAGACCAGATGTGTACGATGGTTGTTGATCACTTCACAGGTTTTGGGCTGGTTGTGCAACCCAAGCCACTCCGCGGTGCATCCGGGGAAAGTGGGACGACTCAAGGTATCGAATGCCTACCACTCAGAGTGGGTGTGTTCCTACCCAGCAACCGACTGACAAGGTCAGGTCACCTACAACTCAGAGTTCGCATTTGGGATAGGTCACAAGAAACGACACAGGTTAGTACTTGGCAAGCGCAATTGATTAAGTTTATTTAATATAGCCATTTAGAAGATAATAAACTACGTGTCAAATTTACGAGCTGAGCAAAGATCTGATAATTGGAACCCGCCATTGACATCGCTTGTTACTTTTGTTTGGAACTAGACAACAATTTTGTGTTCACACTTTATGTGATTAACAGCTCCACGATAATGGTTCTCTGACATCTTTATTTTCCAAAAATTTTGTTCAATAGTGTCATAAACTTGAAGAGACAGCCAAGAATATTAATACTGTGGCATATTGTTCTGTGTTTCCGGGTATAAAAAGGACCGTGTATATCTTAAAATGTCACCTGTTAACGACAGCATAAACAGCTTAATTAAAAATTGTAGAACATAACAGATTTGGAGGAAACTCGTTGTTAAATCTTATACCGTCCTGCAGCAAGTAGAGGAGGCAGAGGCGGACAGCAAGGTCATAGACCGAAAGTGCACACTCTTCCTGCGAACTACCAGTGAAGGACCTGGTCGCCGGCAACGAGGCTTAGACGTTGTGGTTCAGATCCGTGGACTGAATTTCGAGTTATGGGAACCAGATCCAATGGATCAGGTAAGATACTGAGGGGAACCTTACAATATACATGTGAGTCCACATGTACATCTGTGATCAGCGGTCAAAGACACAAAGCGTCGCAAATATGTACTCGGCATCTGACAACAGTTGTAATCCCTCTCAGATGACAAATTGGCAAAGAAGTGAGAATCATTTATAAAGAACCTATTGCCAGACGAATAAAACATTTTCCTTGCGTTATCCGTAAATGCACTGGCATTTCTTGTAACATTGTGACACGTTACGTTCTGAATGTGCGAATCTGGTCCCCTAATTTTATGGAAGCGTTTAAATGAATACAAGCAAAAGACAGTTGCTAAAGTAACTTAAACAACGCTTACACATTGTGCATTTCCAGGCAGATTAAGCATCAAGCGTATGAGTGTAAGCCTGCAATAGATATTTTCTTCAATAATATCTTTATGTAATTCCATTTAATTACAGACAATTCCTTACGAGAACTTCCAGCCCGATCCCGAGGGACGCGTAGATGTGTCTGTAACTTTCAACCTGAAGTTACATAGTCTGGGCGGTGAGGGCGGAATTCACCCGCTACAGTGCGATTTCTGCATCGGACAACGGGCGCATAGAAATCTATTTCAGACCATCCGAGCTGTTGTTGACATAGTAAGTCATCTGTCACACAGTGCAAACCCCAGTGGAACACGTCATAGTCACGTGGCTTCCAGGTCTCTTAAAAAATGAAACCAATTCAAACAAAATAAGGACCAGAAACATTGTTAACGAATTCCAAGGCCTTAGAACATTATTGCAAGGAGTCTCTCGCAAGTTCTCACTAATCAAAGGGAATAAATCGTCCAGTCTCAAAATCAAGTCTCACGCTGTTTACAAGAACTGCTACTACGTCATCTACTTTAATTCGTCACTGACCTTGCTCCGTTACTTGTGACCATAACTTTAACTGACCTGTGATAGGTTTGACCAGTGGTGTAACCAGGTCGTGTATCCAGGGGGCAAAATGCCCCCCCCTACAAATGACTTTTTTCACCCTTAAAAGAATCCTCACCCCAAGGTCTGGTGCGGTATTACCTTTTCTAGAGTTCTGGTATTTTCAGTTCCTTATTCGTTTTTGAATCGACAACCTGTCTCCAGGATGGAAACTTGCCGCCTGCCCCTCTTCTGGATATGTCGCTGAGTCCGACGACAGCTCTGCCCTGTTTCATCAGTCGGAGCTTATAAAGGAGTTCACTTAGATTCATGCTTCTAAAATTTGAATGAACAAAAGGGATTCAAAAGGCAAACAAAGTTAAAAGGATTGAGCCAGACGCGAACGTTGTGAAATCGACATTATTATAATTCCAGATGGACTCGTTCACTTGTTGAGCCTCGCCTATCTGTACAACCCACCTTTTTGTTTAATTATGAGCGATGCCCATGAACGAAGCCACAATTCATAGACGCCTTGGATTAATCTGATCTAAACCCACTGTCCAATTTGACCTAGACCCCAGTCGAGGCTTTGCTTGGTTTGTGAAAATGCCAACTGATTTATGGAATCTTAAATTTAACATGCCTTTGCTACGACGAGATTTGAGATAAGTTGCTAATTTTATATTTTTTACAGTTCAACGGCGAAATGCGCTCTGAGACACAAATCAACAGGTTCCCAAATCCCATGTCCACATCGGGGTTCCAAGAATTATGCAACTATCTCGAAGTTGAGAGACGATGGAAACTACTTGCTGACTTATTCTTCGGCCAGTCAGAAGGTCGTACGTTCGAGAAGTGGCCATTTCCTTCGGCGGTGTTGCTAAATGTCATCTTTTCTCGATCAGCAACACTCGAGCACCTGCATGATATGCTCCTCGAATGTAGGCTGTTGGGAGCAGCGAATATCGTCCAGGATGAGATGGCAAGTCCGGAGGGGCTTGGGGGACACCTCGAGGCAATCCACATCAGAGGGAGACCCAGTAGGCCCCAGCTGTCAAATCCTGTGCAATGCAGCGACGACGATCGTCTGCATCGTTTCGGACAGGACGAGAACTTTTACGAAGAGGTAATGACTTCAAATGGCAGAAGACCAGTGGCAACAGAGAGCGAATGGCCTCCCGGCTCTCCTGGGGATCTGAGATCGTCAGATTCCCACAACGAGATGGCTGCCACGGGAGCACAGGGTTTAGAACATTCTGACAGTGAGAGAACCGGGTCGACACTGGGCCACCCGGCAAGCCGATTTCTGGGTTTCGAGATCCAACATACCTCTCAGCAGAATGTCTATGAGGAATGCAGAATAAGGGACAACAACGATGTTGAGAGAACAGAAAATGACCATTATATGAACTTGGACATAGTGAGAAGAAAAGCGTCACTACCCAAAGGCTACGTTAAATTTTCTAAGTAGCTATACTATCAGCACGTTTTAAAGATAACTGTACAAAAAATATTTTTTATAACCAGGACTAAATGAGAGACAAAACAAAAAGACAACAAGCAGCATACAACGCGCCCCCCCCCGCAAAAGGGAAACTGGCCAAATGTTATCATGAATTAAGAGGCCTCCAGAGAACTGCATTTTTTTGTAACCAAAATACAAGTCAGTGCCTTTCTCTGCAACATTTATTATAATTGCTGTGCAATGTGCAAGTTAATCATTTCAAATACGAATAACATGAGAGAGTCATGTTAAGTACACGAAAGCTGAGTCGGTTTTGAAGCTAGTAAAATATATAAGTCTGTATTTTCAGTTTGTTTTAAATTAAGCCTACTAATTGTAAAAGATTTGAAAGATTAAAAGTTGATGTAGTTACTGAAATTTGGTATTAAAAGTGACATTATTACAAATGGTAAGATAACTATTGACAATGTAACCAAAATATTGAGATAAAAAATATGTCATATCTGAAAGAACACTCATCATGTAAGTAATCATGCATGTAAATAAGAAAAACGTTGATAGATCACGTTAATGCATCCCACCAGCAAAAATGTACAAACGAGCGATTAAACACAATGTCCAATTTCCAAGACACATTTACAATAATTCCAAATTAACATTTTGTTTCATCATGCTCTAGATTCCGACCGTTCGGCCAAGTACAAGAAGAGAAAAATACTGAAGAGTAGGCCTAGTATAAGAAAACTGTAATTTAGGTCGTTGACCGCTGATTACTTCTGTTTGTTAATCTATAATTTACGAGTAAAAATATGGTGTAACGGGACAAACTTGATATATCTGACATTTTATAAGACAATTTTGATATATAAACCGTCTCACAGATGAACTTACAATGACCTTGTGAATGTTGATAAATACATGCATTGCATAAATCAGAAGCATTGTGGTGGTTGGATTATATTTTGTGTATACAAAGGCTGGGCATGTGTGGTCAGAAGCCATTCATTCAAATTTTATGGCCGTGGACGGTTGCCACCAAAGATCTTATAGCGCTGCGTAGCGAGAGTAGGTGCGTAGCGGCGCTACACGACAATCTTTGGTTGCCCCTGCTATTGGAATCCATGGCCTTACAGATAAACACTAATTAGGAGTTCAGCCCACTAAAGCAAGTCACCATTTCTGGCCAGCTCATTAGCATGAAAAGTTCACTCACAGTTTCTTTTGAAGAAGGAGATTATTTGGCCCCCAAAACGGTGAGAGTAATGCATATAGCCTGGATCATCAATTCCCCAGTTGTTAAGGCTTCCGAGGTCAGAATAAATGATAACTGAAAAGGGCTCTAAATGCCCCCGGATGTAGAGGGGAGCCATTTGAAAGATGATTTTGTTGTGTGTAAATAATTTAAAGAAATAATTGGTGAGGCCTAACCCACAAAACAGTGAAAAGAAATTGAAAAAGGAAGGACAAATCAAAACTACATTTTTGTTTCAGAAACCCCATGAATTTTGGCGTGCATGTTACTGAGCCCTGAGCAATGCTGGTTTTGCACTGTTATCTATTGGGCTTGAATTGGTGGATTGCTCTTTACAGGCCTAGTGATAGTGACTTGATTTGTCAATTCATGAGTTTGCACAGTATAGAGCTACACACGAGTCCGAAAGAAGATTGGAGGCTAGACCATATCTGTATTTTTCGCCGTGCAAGTATGTGCAGTATCTGCAGTCTGCTGCTCTGATGGTGAGTGCTTACGACACACAGCTTTCTTCTCTGCGGTTGAAGACACTACCGTCTTCGGCTTCTTGAAGTATTTTCGCTGTGTTTTTTTCTGGGTGGTTGATCGTGCCGTCACGAGACCAAGTTTCTCTCTCCACAGGGCCTTCACTTGCTTGGTGAAGGTAAATGCCAGGAAGATGTAGACTCCTTGGAGAGATGTCATGATGCAGAAGATATACACTATGACGTCGCTTTTGAATGCACTTGCCAGAAAGCCAAAGATCCAGGTGAATGCCAGGAGAAATCCAATCTGAGGTAAAACAATACGAGCCCTTTAAATTGGGGCCTTTAAAAAGTAGGTCCAGTGATGTAAGTGAGGGTGAATTTTTGGGGGGCAGTGGGGGAGTACACTTTTTCAAGGGGGAACTAAAAGCAAATAAAGAATTTTTTTGTACATAGCCTGTGCTCATTTCTAGATTTAAATGGGGAGAGGCGGGAAAATGACATCCGCTGCCCCCCCCTCTCCCGCTGTATAGACACATTCTTACCTTAATTGAAATGAAGGCATCCCTCCGCATTCGACTCGTGCGTGCCTCTTTGGAACACAAATTAGTAGAGGGCGCCCTTCTGAAAGTGAAGCCTACTAATATCGCCAGAAAGAATCCAAAATTTGTTAGCAGCGAGATGCCGACTGGAGCAACGAAGGCCGCTATCTCCATAATTCTGTCAGTGAAACTGCAAGACCTTATACCTCCATACTCTTCCGAGACACCGTAGGTGCCGTAAAGAGAGACGAAATGAAGGATGATGCATGTGAGGACGATGATAAATGGTGCTCCCCATCCGAAGAAACTGAAGTACATGAAAGAGTTCCGAAGCTGGCTAGCCGCTGCAGGTTTAGCCCCAGGCCCCAGGGTGCGAGCCAAGTAGAACGCCAAAGCGTTGGTCCAGCTGAAAGTAGACAAGCACGTGTAGTGCAGTAAAACTGCGAGTAGGGTACAAGAAGCTTTGCTGACCGATCGAGCAACGTCATCGCCCGTAATCAACAGCAACAACTGGGCCGAGAAGACGGCGGCAATAAGTGACATGACGCACCGTCCTGGTAAGTTGCGAAGACTTGGGAACACCAAGTACGTGACGAAACTAGCAACGAGGGCAACCATGGATATGAGAAAACCAATTACCGTAACTATGAATATTGCGTGGCCTCCAAAAACTCCAGGTTGTGGAAAATAGGGGGGAGAAAGGAGATAGTAACATACCAAATCCCCACCACTTTCCAAACTAATGTGGTTTCCATCATCTGCCAAAGGCTTCTGATTATCAGTCAAAAGTTGAGAAAAAGTACTCGAGTTTATTTGGATCAACGAGCAGTTGAAATGAACGAAATCTCCGCATGCAGATACACTGTGAGCTCTGTCGGGGGTGTTACCATTGCTCCAGGTGTAAGTTACTTGGTACAAAGAATCTTGCAGCGATAGCAGGCCGTTGAAATCTCGCAAGTACAGACTCTCGGAATTGTTCCAAGCCGCCAAATAAACACTACTTTCATTTGTCGTGTCGTAATCCATACATCTTGATCCTGTGGGTGAGATACATCCCTTTCTCAAGACCACTTTCATTACGGAAGCCGTAGAAGGACACTGTCTCTTTTGTGTCACTTGTGGGTTTTCGTTCAAGATCTTGTCCAGTGCTTGTATTGTCGAATTAACGGTAAGATGAACGCGCACAGGAAAAAGGCCGCTACGCTCTTCATGGAGTTCCTGCGATTTGCACCATTCCGTTGACCAGACGGATGAATCGTGTACGCCGAGGCATTCTCCCCATAACTCGCATGGAGTAGAGGTGGAATTTTGGCCAAAATACATGTCTATCTCCACGTCTACATGACCTGGCTGGACACATTCGCTTTGGATAATGGTTGGTTCAGAAGGGATTTCTCGCTCCCACCCTCCCGAGCTCATCAAAGCTCGGCAGCGCAATGTAAACGGGTCCAGAAACTCGTTTCTCCCGCACGTATTTTCAACGTGCGTCGGTCTGCTGTCAGCACCAGCGATATCTCTGATTGAAACTCTGTTTCCCTGGAAGTCCACCAGTGCAGTCAGCGTGGGGGACCAGACCTTGTGCGGGCCAAGCTTGAATAAATGACACATTGTGACGTGTAGAGCATTGTTACAAAGTGCGCAGTACCAGTTTCTGTATCTCACGTGAGTAACAGGATGCACCACGGCCATCGTGTGGGATCGGCACGCTCTTTTTATGCCGTCATCTCCAAAGTCCAGTGGACAATTGTCGATTTCATGGGCAACGCAACTTCGTAATTTTTCAAAGTCATGTTTGAACTGAATGTTTCTCGTGTTGAAGACTTTTAAGGAATCTACAGCTTGAAGAATTTCTTCTGAATCATTTGCACCTTTTAGAGACGCCAGAGAGACATTCGATTGTATTCTCCAAGTTCTCATCTGTGATACTGGAACCCCATGACAAACAGCGCAGTAAATGTTACGAAATGACGTCGAGGGGTCGTTGGACGCCACTACAGGGAGTAGAAGCATAAGGTCGGACTCATCGTCTGGAGCTTCGCAGAGATGTCTGATATCTAGGTCTTTCCAAGATGGCGGACACCTACCAACCATCCAATATCCTTGCGGCAGCATGTACTCATTGTGGAATAACAAGCCGTTTTTCTTGAACCCCGTCAATGTCGACGGGAGTTCCACGCACACGTGATAGGCGCCAGTTCTTGGAGTGTCCCTCGCGATAAGCGATTGATTACTCTCACCAGTCGCACTAGTCGACCCAACTACGCCATGTTTGGTAACGTGATCGCGATAACTGGCCTGGCAGCAATCATTCAGCGTTTCACAGAGTTCATCACACGAACACAGACGTTCCACGTTGCAGCCGATCCTCTTCTCGTACTCTTCACAGCTGACTGTTAAAGTGGCTGAAACATTGGCAAAATCTAGGAAAAGGGAAAACGAAAGAGTGACGTCACCACTCAACTAGCTGATCAGTCAAGAGTTAAAAGTCAATAGCAGCGTGTTTCTAGAGTTAAAAGTCAATATCAGCGTGTTTCAAGAGTTAAAAGTCAATATCAGCGTGTTTCAAGAGTTAAAAGTCAATATCAGATTGTTTCAAGAGCTACAAGTCAATATCAGCGTGTTTCAGTCACGTAAGTGCACATAAATGTCTCTTTCATGAACTAAAAAAGGAACTGGAAAAGTACAAACGAACTCTTGTACCGGCATCTTGACGGTGGTGTCAGGAACAAGTTTAAACCGACTTTATCAAACGGGGTTGTTGACAACACGGCATCCAAAGACAGATGACGATGTGAACTTGTGATGCTCAAGGTACTCAGTCAGTGTTGCGCCTTTGGATGGTGTCAGCACTTTAGAATTAATCTTACCCAGGCAAAGCCTGGCTAATTGCTAATTTGCCGTGGGTTATTTCGTATTAGCACAGAGTGAAAGGATGCTGTCTCAGCGTACAATCCTCAGACGTGATATAGACACGACCAGTGAGACTGAATAGTTTGCTTGTTCGTGCCGAATACACAAATTAGGCATTTAGAATATTCTCAAAAGAAAACAACAACAACAACAACAACATGGGGATCAGTTATTTTATTTAAATTTGTAATACTTTTATATAGTCTTGGTTGTACCCAATTCCCCAGTGGTGCAAAATCGCTACAAGCCATATTTGACCTGAACAAGTCTTTGACAGTTTTGCGTGAGTTCCGAATTCTTGGTATTACTGTTCTTTCAAGACAGTCCATGGCTGAATGACACTGTGTGTGCACTGAGGGGAGTTGACTACAACATGACTTTACAATTTCATCAGCAAGCCATTTTCCCCCTCGATGTTTTGGCCTCTCAATCCTGTCTATACTCAGCAGCAATCTCTACATTGGGATTGTCAAACTGATGTGTTGGTAAGAAAGTATTGCCACCTCTCTCTTGTTTTGCTGCTACTGACTGCAGAGAGCATTTAATTTCGTTGAACTCCTTTTTTTAATAAACTGAGGCCTAAGCCCCACCCAACTCACTGCTCTGTACTTGAGAAGGTGCTCTTCGCATCATCATCTCGCGTCGCTCATCGCATACAAATGTGAGCAATACCTGGGGGGTCCCATATTAGAAAGCAAGCAGTTCACAGCCGCACCCGACACGGCTCTGTTTCAAAGTCGTCTCTGCGTCGTGTGTTAAACCAATTCGTCTCGACTTCCTATTCTCAGTCAAATCAGTTTATGGAGCATTTGAACGACGCCAGTTCCATATTAGAATGAATTTATTTTGATAACCCCATGGCATCCAATGTAGGCCTGAATTGCTTACTTAATAGGCCTTCGTGTGTTTCACGAGATCACTCGAGACAAAACTCGGCGTTCTGGCGCCATTGGATAAATCGCAGCCCTATCCGTTGTCGCCGGTGTCAGAATGATGATGGGCAACTGCGTTCATTTATATACACGTTTTCTGGACATCCGACAGCATGCCTTTTATAAGTTAGATTTGGTTGAGCAAAATATAACTTAGAATATCTATTAATCTCCTTTGAATTTGTGTGTCCCATCATTGTATTAAAATTATCCTGTTAACAGGAAGTAACAGTGTAAAAACAACGTTTAGAGTTTAAACACTTTTTGAACCCACTTTTTCAACACATTTAACCCATGACATGTTTACTGAAATATGTTAAGGAATGCGTTTAAATACTAAACGCATTTCCGCGGTACATGTTCAGCTTTTTAAAATCTGCTTAGCACATAAACACATTCCTAAACGCATAACTGTTTCACTCTTTTTCCTTTTATGTCCTTTGAAAGCCCCTATTTATGCATGTAAATTTATAAATAATTTTATTAAGAAGGCTTTCTTCATTCGTTTTTAACGGTATGAGGTTATGTTTTATTTACCTTTTTTTAATGTCTTGATGCTGTAAATTCACCAGAAATGCGGCCTTTTGTCGCTAAAGGTGGGTCTTTTAATAAACCATCATTGATCAATTGATAGATCGAATCCCTCACAATTGGGAGGATTTAGGACTGTTAGGGCATGGTAAGGGTTAAAGCCTTTTCAATAAATGAAATGAAAAGGGATTTTCTGCGGTCTTCCAAAAAGATTTGAGCGAACAGTGGGAAAGTGTTTCATCACATGTTGTGTAAGACGATCGGAATATGAGCCGATACGCACGGTTCTGAATCCTCTCAATACGTTCAAGTTGATTTGGAGTCAGGGCTCCACTCCAGACTGGTGCTGCGTAGGCCTATACAGTTTAATCCCTATCATGCGGTACACAATTGACTCTTCAAAAGACGTAGCATGTATAATTTGCCGTTGGCACGATTGATGATTGTTAGGGATAAATGTGCTCATGGTTTAGCCTTTGACGGATTTTATGATAACATTGAGATCTTTTACACAAGGATTTTCTTAATGTTGTTTCCCCTAAATCCAATATAGAATGTTTTAAGCAACCTTTTAATTATTCTGGTGGTATAACTTGGAACGGCTCACCTGCTAATGTCCAAAATGCGTCTTTAATAAATAGTTTTAAATATATATGCAAAATTGCACTTTGAATGTAGGCCTGTGTTACATATATTAAATTGCTCTTGAAAGTCACAGGACCACAGTGTAAAACAGCCAATTTTGATAAGATTTTTTTATACTGTTTAAAGATAGTGAAATAAATAAATGAAATATAGAAAAGCTATGTCCAGGTACTGAATAAATTCATTCATTAATATCATGCTCGACAAGCGTATGCATTCTCTGTGACGCCAACATCTTTTACCGAGGGGCCACCCCCCATCAGTCATTTAAAGCTGACGGTATAAAGAGTTTGCTCCTAACATGACTTGCCAGAGGCCTCAACCACTAGAATTCGAATGTTTTTTCCCCAATACTAAGGCAGCAGTGCGTCAGCAATTTAAGTATGCTACATATCTGATCGGAGGGTTATACGGGCCATTGAAGAACTTGAAGGTTGGTAATGGTTAAACATGTAGATGTTATTATCTAGAAAACGCCAAACGGAAGAAGCTTTAAAAAATATTACCCCCTGTTGATTTTAGCAGAGAAAATTCGTTGTAGTATTGGTGGGACGGTGAGAGACACATATACTTTTCAGAATACGACTTGGCGATAATCTTTTCCCACATTTACTGGCTTGAAGATGGGAGAAACCGCCGCCATAATCTAAAATCCAAATCCATTTTTACAATAGAGGTTTTTTCTTTCTAAGATTGTTGCTCGAGTTGCAGACAATTGCACTTTAAAAACCAACGTCCACGCGTCATTGCGTTAATTGTATGTAGCACCATGTAAACCCTTTCTGGTAATAAACGTGTTTCGGTGTTTAGCACCCGATAAATGGGTTCTTGTTTGTTGTCAGAAAAGCACTCAAATGTATCTTGATGTTCAATTATCTTAACACGTCAACACGTCGTTGTTTAAAAGAATTAAACACCAGCTTTCAGCTTTTGAATTTATAACACTACAACGCATTTAAAAAGTGTTACGAGAGACGCGTTGAAAAGGTGTTAAAACGTTAACAAGTCTTGTTTTTACAGTGTTCACTCACGAAATGATTCTCCATCACTTTACCTATAACAAAAAGAAACCTTACCTCCAAGACGATCCTCTACGCCCTCCTGCGCAGTAGCCACTCCTATCATAACAGCCGCGCCTAGCAACATTATCAGCATCCCTAAAGTACACAGATACATGTTCAATTTCTTCTCAATCTCGCAGTTGATATACAGCCAGAAACGCAATTTACCTGCACCCTCTTAATCAATATGCCTCTCTCTTGGGGTTGAAGAGCAATATGCATCACTCAAGGTGGTGATGTTGGTTTTATACAGCTTCGCCGACCCGCAGCCCGCTGGATGTTCCTGTCACATCACCTTCCTTGCGTCAGAAAGCGATCCGCCCTGCTGCAAGCACGTTGGTACTGAATCACCCAGGAATCGCTTCCGTATGACTGCACTCTATACGTCAATTCCATGGAGCACACAAAGTAACTTGTATCCATCAACTATTACTTCACACTGTGCTTCATGATGCAAATCATTTATAAAACAAGCAGTTTCGGCCATGAATCGTTGAACAAGCTCCAAGTTGAAATTCTTGGTACACTTGCAAACCATCATTTACAAGCACTATATATCCACACTCATTCACCCGAACTTTAGAATATTAAAAACTACTGAATGTAAACATGAAACGTTCGTTGACAAACGAACCTCACAAAACTGTTGGCACTTGCCTCAACTCGTCGTCGCCTGGCTTTATTACTCTCCATTTTCAGCAAACATTAATCTCTTGCCAAAAATAATATTCATTAGAAATTTCTCCTAGTGAACTGCAATATCTTTTCATTTAGATAAAGGAACCTTTTTTTGTGCTGTTATAGTTTTTTATTAACCCTCCCTGGAGAGACATCGGTCAGCCATGGACGGCCATTTTCGTAATTTCTTAATTAAAAATAAAATTACGTCCTGATGCTTAAGCAGCAAAATGACTTGTGCAACCAACAATAAATGTACAGTTCCAAAAGAATAAACGTTTTTGCCATCTCTTCCATTATGAATTTTTAGTTCATAGACAATTAATGACTATCTACGTCTAAAATGAATGAACAAGCGCCTGCGGCAGTCTAAACCATGTAGACAGATGGCCAGTGTGTATTTAGGGGAAATCAGTCCTTGAGAGGTTTCTAACAATGATTTACTAGCGATGCTGTCAGAAATTGGTATATATATCCTACTCATTTGAAGATCGAGTGCTTTTTCTCTTCTCGTGCATATAAGAAAATTCCCGTCATGTCCTGCCATGCCTCCGAGAGCCAGGCGACGGTATAGGCCTACAGACATGATATTCCTAGGAAATGTTCATGGCACTGCAGATGTAGACTGTTCCCGGAACATTTTAAGTGGGATAAGAGTGTGTTTAGAATGTGTGAGAAGTTTTGAGACTTCTTGGCAACCCATTATCACTAATCTCCACATGTTTTGTCGTAATATCCATTCCCCTTTTCAATACATCTGCTGAAAATTAAGGAAACCGTGTTAAAACTCGCGGTAATGGCGGTGGAACAATGCTCAAAGCGGAAGGGGTCATCTGTGAGACCGTCGGGCGTCAGCCATTAATAGGCCAGTCCATTAAACCCCAACCCATTTTGGGAATTGTTTAAAAGTGGGGCACCATGACCCCAGTCGAAAAAACAGGAGGAGGGATACCGCCCTCCCCCTTCCGTTTCCGCCGCCAGTGGTCTCGCAGGGGATGCACTGATGAAGTGTTCTATATTCATAACTTAATTTCCACCCTATGACGAAATGCAGAATGACTGACAAGTAGATTCCAGATTCCTTACCTAATCAAGTCTTCTTTCCTTACCGCCCGGCGATAATTGTTGTATATTAATCCAGACATTGGACGCTTGTTGGATGGTCCTTTTCAAGCACAATTTCACCACTCCCTTAAAAGTGTTACTTTAAACCCTCCACACTTCTTCTTTGAAGATCATTGTCAATAATAGAGGTCGATTTCATTTAAGCTTAATAATTACAAACCAAGGTCTCGTTTCCTGACCTATGTAAACCAAATCCTGTGAAGTAGGTTGCAATATGCGACAAAGGTATCAATTTGAGGGACTCCATCATTATCAGCCGTGGATGTATTAATTTGATGTTATACTTTTTTTCTTAAGAAAGATGACGCAGTTGGATTCATTAATATGCACGAGTCATTTTATTCACATTCTCTAAGCAATTGCATCAAACCCAATAATCCGATCAGCTTAGGCCTATGCGTTGGATGATGGCAACCACGTACCGGTACAGACGTACAGATCGACTGTTTCTGAAAAATGTGAAAAATATTAATACTTTTGATTTTCATAAGTATAGGCCTTCTTACTTGTTGCATGAAATGAAAACATTTTCATTTCCCGATGTATAGATTTTATTTATAACAGTTTTAACACATTAAACTGTCGAAAAGCTAAGTGGACACACAAATAAGAATGTAAAAGATAAATTGTGCTTATTTAGGGTTGAAGACCAGTATATTAAACACATATACATAAAGCACTGAGTGACGAAAATGTATCATCTATTGTGTGTGCTGCAATTTCGGACGACGACATCAAATTATGGTAAATATATGACATTGTTTGAACAAAGTGCAAAATGAGAAACAAAAGGCGAAATTCAACATGGCAGAACGTGAAAGCTCATAGATGTTAGAGACGAATTTGAAGTTAACCGTTTATGAAATCGAACGAAAAAAGTTTGCAAAACAGTTTGGGAAAACCTTATCTACAAGAACCAACACCTTCTGGAAATCTACATTTCCGAAATCAGATCATAAATGAAAATGTCTGTGTCCTTCAAACCGTCAGGATCTATAAGCAGTTGGTTATTGAGTCACATACATCCCGTAAGCTGCCACTTCGTCTACGGTCGGTGATTCCCGCCAAAATGACGAATTCGTTTCCAGGTAATGAAGTGCAGAAGGTATTCGTTGTCATTCATTTATCCCAGATGGAAATTAACTTTTTTTGAAGATCACAACAACAGATGCCATTACTGGATATTATTCATTTTGAAAAGAAGAAGAAAAAAATCTCTGTCGTTCTATCTGATTTGCTTCTGAAAATGAAGTGTTCCCTGTGAAAAGTGAAGTCAAGCTAAACGGATAATTGCTGACACGACTTTATCTAAAACAACGAAGCCTTTGGTTTCATCCTCGTGGGATGACACTACGGTGAAGAATACCTGTTATCGTTATTACGAGAACGTAGAAAAACAGATGCAGGCAAGTCAACCATGCGACACGCACCTGCCGCGCTTCATTGATGTCCTCCGTATGGCTAATTCAATGTCACTGGTGAGAGCGGGAGTTTGCACGAACTCCGCCAAGCAAGAATGCGGTCAATGCTCAGCAGTAGGGAGGAATGACCGAGTCCACAGTAACAAACATCAGGCTCACTGAATTTCTAGAAACTCTGCAGAACTTTGCTTTCTTACCACTTTCATTCTGCCCGCAATTTGGATGGGAGGCCAAGATTGCAGAAAACCACCTTTTTCGATTTCCCTTCAAATCCGTTTAAAATTCAGATTGTTGTCCCATTAACTTTAAAGAGGATTGTATTTTCATTCTTTACTTCATAGTATTATCATCTCGTTTTGGGAAAGCTGCGTGGAATTTTTATAAATTATTCTTCAACTGTTCGGCCCGCGATAGTTTTAGGAGCTACTTGCAGTAAAAACGCAACTGTGACGTAAAACGGGCAGACCCTATAATACGATAAAACTGATAGACTCAATCCAAAAGGGAAGCATCAAGTGAAAAAGTGAAAAGATATCTTAGCAACGATATGCTCACTTCGTTATTGCACTCTGAAAAACAACTGAAGAAAAAAAAACGGAAAAGCGAACGGGGACTGTTAATTTAGGAAGCAATGGTGGAATGTCCAACAACATTCCACCGCAGTGAAAGTGCATTACCATGAGCATGTTGTCCCCATGCTTCATCAGGGATCCGGACTGACATTTAATCGAGGTCCAAGCGCTGGATGAACGTGACTAGCGGCGATAAATTTCGCCGAATCCCGGGCAGCAATTCTCCGGCACGCCACGGCTGATTAGCCCCGTGGCGAGTGAAAAACGTAATAAAGGTTGCTTGCCTCCGCAACCAAGCCAACGGTGACTGCGCGAGATAGCCACACCAGGCATTTTGTGCAGAAGAGGAGTGGACAGGTGGAGATGCGGATGTCGACCTGTCCATGTGCACTCTATCCGTAAAGTAATTCTCGCTCTTGACATGCGCGAATTACCACACTGGTTTGCAGATCTTTACGACATACCTGTCGGCTTAAGAAAAAAAAGTAATGGGCGCACTCTCTGGCGTTTCCATGAAATGAGTGTAGCAATGAGGACAGCGCAGTGATGGATTCAGGCCATTATAAACACGGGCAAGATTCTGTTTTGCTGAGTTGTGTTCGCAAATATACAACTTTCTGGTGATACGATTTATTGCCATCGGATAAATGCCACATCACAGCGGCGAGTGAAAAAGGAGACTGCGTTGGAAAGCCTGGCCCATAGGAACCTTCATATTTACTGCATTTTGTAGTCATGTGCTTGTTACAGTAGAGCAAAAGACGCTCAGCTGGTGTGCGTCGAATCTAAATTAAATTTTCACAGCTAAAGATGCACACTGGGGTAAATTTGTACCGGGAACTAGGTGGATAGGGGATTGTGGGGAATGACTTGCCCGGCCATGGAAATTTGAAAAGCGGTGGGAGGGGTGCTGACACCATCAAACAAAAGAGGGCGATGTTAATGGCAGGTGTAGGTCTGTGATAATGTTTACACTCCAGCAGAGCCTTGCATCAGAGCGGCGTACTTGTGTCTTTAAAATTGATCTTCCCTTTCAAGGGTTACTGAATACATTTTGGTGATTATGAAGTCCAGATTTTTTTTCAAAATCCTCCTAAACTTTTTCTTTCACGAAAAACGCCCCCCCCCCACCAAAAAAGTGAGGGGATACATGTACATACAACGATTTCCTGGAATTTCCACCCATGAAGGTGCAAGTCATTAACTACTTGGCTTATCAAATTCATCCACGTGGAACGTCATATCCACAGCGTGATTGAAATATGGGTGAGCTGTGTTGAAATACTTTCACCAGCCCACGTACCATATGTCTTCCGACTTGCCCCACTGCCTCGTGTGTCGAGAACCTTAACAAGATGTTGAGTTCTTACTGCGTAGCAATTTTAAAGCCACCAGACGAAGCTGCAACCTTGTCTTCAAAACTTCGGCTTCTGAGATTTTGCTGAGACTTCGAAAACTTTATACAAATGCATTTTGGAATTCACATGGGATGGATAACACCACTGGACTTCAGACTGTACAGCCCGCTGTACACTCAAGATTTGCTATAGTTCGAGATTTATCGCACTTTTCCTTGTACAATTTATCAAGATATACAGTACAAAAGTTTTTCCTTCATACTGTTTCATTGGTGTCCATTTTGAATCTTACAGAAGTAGAGCTTAAAGTCTAAGCATTATAGTTCATTTCACCAAGTTGACTAACGCAGACAGATCACTTTTACAAAATTGTTACTTCATTTATTGCATTAAGTTTTCCACAAAAAACAGCTGCATAATAGTCATGTGTCATCATGAGTGTGCGTTTAAATTGCAATCAAAATTACATGTATTTTCAGAAAAACAGAAACCATCCGATAACAAAATAATAAACTGCTGAAACCGTCGGCGAATAATAAAGAATTACGAAAGCTATTGTTACAAAACTAGTGATTAATTTCTACCTGTATCAAAGAAAACCACTTCGGGTATTGTTTTATACTGACAGACGTACATGTAATATATTAACATATAACAATTAAGATTTCAGTGTTAATACCTGGGATATGATGAGCATCTCATTAACATAAAAAGTAACAACAAATTAAAGTTTTCTGAATCTTTTACAAAAAAATTGATCTCTTTGGAATCATGACACCATACACTAAAGTTTCAAAGCTAAGCATGGCTCAAACATCCCAAACCAAAATATATACATAAATCACACCTCAAAGTAAACAATACATATTCATTGGCAGACAAAACACCTTTCCTGATTCTATAAATTTCATACACTTAGGAAGTCCCTGCATCCCTCCAGTTTCCCCCCCCCCCAACAAAATTTGAATCCTGAAATCAGATGGTCTTCATTCCTACCCCAGTTGAAATCAACTTAGCTAAATCAATAGGGCATTCTCAGGTGTGAGATCTGAAGTAAATGGAATAGGACAGACACGTGTAAGCTATGTGAGTACTTCAACCTCTTGAAGTCATCAACAGAACTCATGGGTTCCAGACTGAGCCGTCTTAAGATCACAGATGAAGCCAGTTTTACACTTTTCATCACAGGGACCTGGTACATTGCTCTTATAGTAATATCTATGAAAATAAACAAATAGGATTGGGCAAGGTAATGCATCAGTAATGCATGGATTAAACATTCATGCTATGATGATGTAAGATAACTGCATGAACGATAAAAATGGCAGCAAAGGCGATATACATGTAAGGACGACGTATTTTAGACCATGTGTGACTCACATTACTAAAAGAAACTTAATACGTTCAAATCAGTGCATCAGTGGTCAAAACATTGTTTCTTTCTGCAAAGCCACTTCATTTTGTTAAAATGAAAAGTGGTGGAGTTGAGCATATCAATTTCAGAATTTATGATTGATGACTTCATCACTTGGTTGATGTGAGTAGGCCGCATACAAGTGTCCTCTGATGTTCATGAACAGAGGAAAAGGACGCTTAGTGTATTAATTATACTACAATGTACATGTAAATTACTTACGTGTAAAACTTGTCAAATAATGTGCTGTTTGCGGCTTCAAACTTTCCCACTAGTTCATTCCAGTCCACAGCCTGTAAAGCTTTCATTCCATAAGCAGTCTAGACATGGATTAACATACGATGTGTCAAACTAGCGCCCTCTGTTGGTAAGCTGTCCCAAATGCAGATGTCACTTTATTTGATGCACTGCATTACTTGCCACTAGGCAAGAAGTCTTTGGGATTTTTTTTGAGTGCAAACCTTCAACACTGTTCAACTTACAGCCATTCAAACCATGAACCCAGGTCATAAACAACAAGCAAGAAGTTTTAGTTGGCAGAACAGGAAAGAATTTCAAAGCTTATGTATGTGTTCCAGTCCTGAAGTCGTTTTTTTCTCTTTCTACTTCATAAATTGTTGGCAACAAACTTAAAGAAAATTACCAATAATTATAAATTGTTGACATTTCTACCTTCCTTTTTATCCCTGCTGTAGGGTAATAAGTTTGGAGATGTAAACCCAGTGGCCAGGAGAAACAAATCCAGTTGAGAACATACATACCTTTGCTGTGTATTCCAGTTTCCATTTAGGGTTATCGGTAAGGTTTGCATCGGTAAGATTCATCACATAAGTTGCGTGATCCAGCACAGCCTGTTGGAAGTGATTAAGACACGAAACATGGGCCTTGAATTTTATGGGTTAGAATTCTATTTTCTCACTGAAGCGTAGCTGAATTTGTTCGGTTATTTCTGATCAAATTCTTGGATTTTTAAAAGCCTGAGACTGATGCTGAATGCTGAGACAGAGTCGTTCAACTTGAAACCTGAATCGTAGAAAATCTTATCGGGACTCTCTGAAAAACATCCCAAAATCATTTAAATTGCAACTATTTCCAGTTGTGAGAATTAACTCTGTTAGACTGGGATTTCTTATGAGGGTGACTTCACTCTATCTATTTCAAATGAATGTCAGGGCTGGCTTGAAGTCTCAACTTACCCACGAGCTGTTCTTATAGTTGCCATCGACTTCATAGATTCTATAGTTTGGATTGACATTGGAGTAAGTGGTGACACTGCCCCCATTGTACAGAATACTGGTTGGACGTTTAGTTTTGGGTTCGTAAAAAATTTCAAAGCTGTCCTTGTGAGTGTGGCCAAAAAACTGCCCCCTGATGGTGCTTTCATACCTAAAAAAAAGACAAATTCAGGAATTATCATTTGTAATGTATGATGATCAGGATTTGACATATGTCAGATCTGTCCCATGTGAAACCACCTATTGTGTAGGTTTTTAAGTAAGGTGACATTGGCAGGATATTTATACTCCCATCAATGTCCTTGTTCAACCAAACATCGATTAACGGTGAACTGGTTCAATGTCTCTTGACAGTGTGACAAAAAATATTGTGGAACTAAATAACGCAGAAGCAAACTTGATTTCTGGTTTACACTGAAACTTAACTTCTTTTAAGCCATGATGGTGGAGGAAAGTTATATTTGTGTTTCGGAGGACACTGCTTTCAGGAAAACACATGACAAGTAGATCTGAAACATACATGTAATGACGTCATACTTTTTTTACATGTGCGCTTTCCAATGGGGACTTGACGGACTGCATCTCACCTCAGTGCCATAGTAAAACTTGCATGTAAACAAAGCATGAAGTCATTATGTTAGGAGAGCGTACCTGTTGACGATCTCATTGTAGTTCTTGCTCCATTGTACAAAGCAGTCACCACTACCTGGAGGGATGTGTCCTAAGATGTGGACATGATCCTGATTATCCTCTGCCTTCTGTAAGACTCCAATCAGCCACTCCAACTCCTCAGCTGGATCATCTTCATTCTCCAGTAGCCACCTGAAATTTCAAAAAAACTCATTTACTTTATTCCTTCATAGGTTTTGCTAAAAAAAATCCAGGTCAGATTTCTTGGCTCTGCTGAAGACAGACGTCTATACTTGTTATTCCCCTTTCTGCGTCAGTGCTACAATCCTGGTCAAATCTCGCTCGGCCCCCCTCTCAATGTCGTTTGTCACTGCATGATCCGTGCTCCAGCTGGCAACAACAACATTGACGGGGGGGGGGAACTGTGGAGCTGGGGAGGGTATGCTTATTGTGACATGTCCCAACCATTATGGCTGTGACTGCAGTTTGAGATCTTTGTCAAGGGAAGCCTCAAAAGATTTGGAAGACACCTCCACCACTTACCAGTTTTGATTATTGCACATATTCATATTCACTGAGACCAAAATGAGACCATCAAATAATCGCATACTGTAGTATCCTCCCCTAAGAAAACAAAAAACAGAAATTGAAAATACATTCAAACAATACCCTATCCGAAAGAGATGTCAGTAAAAAAAATAGTCCAGAGAACATGTTGGCTTTCTTCAGATTCTAGGAACCAAACTGGCACAGCTTGTATTTTTTTACAAAACTGATTCCATTTTAATCATATCTTACTTTTAGTTGATTTTGCTGATTCTAACTAATTTCAACTGTATTGAATCTGTTCCTTTAATGAAATTCCCAGCCGATGATCAATTATTGCAATCTAACTTCTGCATTTTCCTGTGAGCTTTTTAACTTATAATAAAAATCACACTCCCAGAAGTAAAATCAAATTTGTAAATCACACTCTCGTTGGTTCTCCATTCATGCCGCGGGCAGAGTTCCTGCACGTACTTGATCAATGTTGAGTTGGCATCCTTTGGTAGCCATTGGGCCTTTGTTATCCATGCATCAACCATAGCCTGATACAGCCATGTGATGGAGTTTTTGCCAGTTATGAAGGGAGGAGGAAAGCTGTCAAAGAATCAAAGGAATCCAAATGTGGTCATAAAAAATAAACAAGTGTCAGAGCTTGTATCTTTTGTTTGCACATATTCTGAAATGCAGACCTTGTCCCTGAAGTCAATATTTGCCTACGGAGCTCTCTGGATCAAAGTAGAATATAACAGAAGCCAGGGTTTTAACACAATAGGTGACCTTCCCACTTCTTTATAACCTCATCGCAAAGGCAAACAAAATCAACACATATCCTGATACCTTATCAAATACATATCATAAATCTTTTGAACTGAATAATTGTTCTCCGGGATATCAGTCAAGATACAGACATTTTGTCTTCAACAACCATGTGAAATGAACACACCAGAAGGACCTGGGGAAAAATTCATATCTATTCCATGCACTCTGAAAAAACATTTCCATCATCCGATTCTACAGTCTTCAAAACATCCTCCAAGTGTTTTTAAAAACTGAAATGCAGGACAAATCAGACCGGCGGTAACAATTTCTAATGAAGACGGTGACTGTGTGCTGGAAAACAATCCACGTGCAGTTTGAACCCAAAAGAGAATTGGATGTGGAGAGGGATAGCTTGTTCTAAAATTATTTGAACAAGGGCAAAACCAGACCTAAACTTTAAGGGAGGGGGCAAACTTGTTTTTGTGGAGGCCCAAAATATATTTTTTCATGTAATCTCTATGTAACATAGAGGTGAGGCTATATTTTGGGGCTTTTTACACACTTTTGGAATGAAGACAAATGAAATAGACCAAAACAAATTACCTTTCTCATATTATTTAAAAAGAAAAAAATTTGGCCCCTTTTTTGGGGGGGAGGAGGCCTTGTCCTCTGTTGGCACCCCTTCCTGGATCCACCCCTGGAGTGGGATGGGTGTTTTGAATGGGGGCTGCAATATCATATGGACTAGGTTCTCTAATCTGCAGATAGACAAATCCATGTGACTTTTAAGATCATACAATTTTCTTTACTTTGAACTCTTTATCAGTTTAGTTCTTAAAATAGTGCTGGTATCAGTGAAGAGGAACTGTGTGACCACAGATGAAGTAGGCCAAGAGAAGTTCATGACACAATCCCACAAACTATTGATTTCATTAGAGAAACATGTCTTTCCATCAGAAGTTGAATGCATGAAAAAGTATCCATCTGGACTTTCCTCCAGTGTAATATTTATCACATAGGTTTAGCATATAAAATTTGGGCCCAACAACGCTGATGATAAAAGTCAAGGAAAAACCAAGGTTTCAATAACTTCATGGTGCAGAAAAGACAGATGCCCAATCACCTGTCTGTCCAACCAAAGTCCCTCCAATCCACCTCTCTCGCTGCCTCCCAACTCTGCCTTTCTAACAGCATCTTTCTTTTATTCATCTTTTACCTGTTTACAGGTGCACTCTCATGGTTACCCACTGCCGGGTAGACAGGAATACCAGGCAGATACTTCTGTAAGACAGTTGTTGTTTGATAAACAATGCTGGTTTGGTCGTAGCGTGTCTGGTTCCACACGTCGTGGGCTGGTAGATCACCAGTGAGGTAGACAAAATCAATCTGTGGAGAGGATTTACAACGGACTTCCTTGACTTGTAAGAGAATCTGGATTGTGGACGAAATCCAAAATCAGGGGCCAATTTCATAGAGCTGCTAAGCACAAAATTTGCTTAAGCATGAAAAAACCTTGCTTGACAAATCAGGTTACCGGCCAAAACTCCATGTGATTTGGGAATGGTATTCACCTGTCTCTTGGTTAGCATGACAATCACACAGATTTTGAGCTGGTAACCTTTTGTAAGCAAGTTTTTTTGCGCTTAAGCAAATTTTGTGCTTAAGCAGCTTGGCCCCAGGTCTGAAACATTTGGATAGGGTCAGATAGAGCTTCAGAACCTTTCATTGTTTCTTACAGAAGGTGGATGTCTCAACTTGATTGACAATGATCACAGAACATGCCACAGGATTTGTTCAAACACAGCCTTTCAGGGGGATTCCATACATGGCTCTTATGAACATCAGAAATCATATGGTCAGAAATGCTCCAAACGGGGACCTTTAATCACAAATTAGTGCCAGTAATTCATTTCATTTGAATTATGCTATACATTGTGACGCAATCCTACATGGTCATCTACATTTCAGATATACAAAACTGAAAGCTTTGCAGCAACTAAAATCAAATGGGGGATTCCCCCAGGGGAAGACGAAGGGAATTCGATTTTTGTTTCATGTTCATGTACCTTGTGTTCTTTAGCAACATATTGGAGCAAGTTTTCAAAGACCCTTGTTGGTGTATCACAACCTCTGTAGTCACCCCATTTTCCTGCAGCTGGCTTGCCCTTGGCTAAAAAGTAATAGAAAAAAGGCACTTTCAAAACTGCACCAATCTTAACCTATTCCATTCTAAAGAATACTTGCACCAACTCAAAGGGCAAAACTTGGCACTTTACATTATTCTTGATTAGTACTGGAAGGAACCAGGTCTCATGTTATCTCACAAAAGTGCCCACTTTTCACTTTCAATGCGAGTGTAAACGTTTTCTCATTTGTAGATGTATGTATCAGTGATTTATGGAATTGAAAAAACTTTTTTTCAAAATATGCAGCATGTGCTAAACAACCAACTGGCTAGTTTATAATCAAGATGTATTTTTTTAAATGTACGTTGGGTAAGGGCAAACCCGTTATATATAATAATGGCTAGTTTATACTTTGACAAAAGACTCTCTTGTGAAACAGATCGCGAAATCAAATTGTATAAAAACCAGTTCTGAATGAAGAGATGACACTTGATAAAAATTCTTAAGTACTGAAAAAAACAAAAATACCACAAACAATCAAAAACGAGATAAACCTGAACCTCAAGATTTGGGCGGTCAGTACAATGATGGGCGGTTCCTTATGTGTGTACCTGGTTTCCCGTCATTGGAACGACAGCAGAGTGGTTCCCCACATTCTACCTCAGCGCCTTCCTGGTACATCCTGTCCCAATGCAGGTCGCTCAGGTGCAGAATTGTCAATTTTGGAGCACCTGCCTAAAAGCAATAATTAACGGGTGAGAAAAACCAGTCAGTGTGTGCTGCTCAACACCCATCATATGTGCAGAATTTCAACAGGATGCAGAAGCAATTTAGAATTTGGTCCAGATACCTCAAGATACAATTATAAATGTTGCACACATTGAGCAAATCTGTCCAATAGCTGTCAAGACACATCTCAGCTGGATCATTTCGGGTCATTAAAATGAAATCTCTCTTGGACATGGTGGGCAAGGATTTTCTCAGTTGAAGGTGGGTTGGACCCATTCCATTAGTGCCTCTTACCTTTGGCGGAGATGGAATTGAAACGGGAGGCTTGGGCGTTTTGGGAAATGTGACATTCCAGGGTGTGTCCGGGTCATAGGGTTTTGCACAAGATGCACCAAGAATGGATCCACAGATGTCGTCAGGTGAAGCATAGTGGCCAATTAAAACTCCAAATAATTCATCCTGCCAAGTTAGTAATGAGAAATATATCACATGGTCGGCAATCAGGATGGCGTTTCTGCTCTCCTAAAATGTCTTGTAAATCTGTCCAGATGTATGTTTCCTGTCCCTTTGTGACTGTGAATTCTTAAGATTACTCATTTTCATTTCAAATGTTTCCTCAATCCAACATCCAAAATTAATGTTTCCTTTATTTCTCAATTAGTATTTGCTCCTCTGTGAGGTAAGCTCCAAATCACATCAAAGTGATCAAAATTTACACAAAGTATGCCAGCGAAATGGGCCCAATTTCACAGAGCTGCTTCAAAGTCTTAATGTCACAGAAATCTTTGCACTACTTAAGTACTATTTTACAGAGGTGCTTGGCCTGGTTGTGCTCATGGCTGTACTTATGGTTGTGTGCACATTAAGATTTCCATCATTTTGTCACTATGTCAAGCAAATTTGTCCACCACCTTGGTAAGCGTACCTTTTGCCATGCTTACTGTTTACGATCTTCATGAAATACACAGAGCCTCTGTAAACGTTAAATCATGTGCTTAGCAGTGCCGTGAAATTGGGCCATTATTTAAAACAGGTTTTTGAACAGAAAAATTGAATACACATATTTTTTAATCCAAATAACTTAATTGTTAAGCCTGTGTCAGCTTTGTATTTCATGACCAAGTGTATTATCACAAAGCAGGGTTGTCTTTGTTTCTTTTCATCTTTGTATTTACCTTGAATTCTCTTGCGATATATTCACAAACTCGTGGTGTTTCAACTTTACCCAGTTTACAAAATTCCACCAAGACGTCCAATATGTCGTCTTCCGTACTGTTTTGGGCCAGCAGTCGATCAACGATATCCATGATCACTTTACAGGACTCGCACTCTAGCCCACCAATAAAGGGCAACTGGAGACTTTGGAACCGGTACGAACCGGTATGATCATGATGGAGCTGGACTGGTCTCGCTGATGCCTGCTGACTTAGGATCAGGCATAATGTAATGATCAAGGCAGATTGGTGCATTCTGAAACTCTGCAGATATAGAAGCAATGTAACAGCTCATTAGGCTTGGAAAAGACTTGACCTACTACTCATGATGTCAGGATATTTATTATTTCCTGCTGCCAAGAATGGGGCATTTCAAACTCCACTTTGCGGCCAAACTAGTTACATTTGCATCAGAGAACAACTTCCACAGCTTCAACAAAACCAAAGCCCTTTTCCTACCTGATCATTAATTGCAGTCCCTTCTGCAGCCACTACTAGGAAGTTGACTTAGTCATGTTAATATCTGATCCAAACAACACCTGAGCAACTGACATGATTGGCACATCACACATATTGATCATTGCTACACGTATGTCCTTGGTTCCTTGTTCTTTCTCCATTCTCCCACCCTGACTCACCCGTGTGACAGGGTATCAAAGAAATTATTGGAAAGGATGTTGCATCCTGCCCCCAGCTTTTTCATCAGTTATGATCTCAATGAAGCTTATTCATTGCTAAAATGTTGAAATGACAAGAATTTGGACTGAAATATATTTCACATTTTCTTAGAAAATACTTCAAAAATGCAAAATACTCTGGACGGACTCTGTGCACAAATTGTACAGTTTGAGGCACACAAAATGCACACGTTAACGCTATCCGTGCAGATTAGAAATACAATCTAATAAAATTGAACGAGTAAAATTTGAAATGTGAACACTCTCAATGATTGCACTGAACAACACCATGTGCACATTTAAACCCTGTGAGATTAGTCCGAGAAATTCTACGTATTTTCTTAGTAAATTCCTTCAATCTTTTCCCTGCTAAAGTTGACTCTTGACATGCTTTACTGAGGATATGTTATCACTTTCTGATGGCTGACGTGAGGAAAGAGATACATGTAATATGTAGGATTCCACTTGACACCCCTTGCACAAATCCTATAAGACTGGTAGGGAAAATTCTAAGTGTTGGAAAGAGTTCCATGATGAACAGACGACACATGACACCCAGTGCAAAAACCCTATGGGACTGGTCTGAAAAATTCTGTGTGTTTTCTAAGTAAATGACATGTTTTTGCCCTCCTTAATTGAACTTTTCAGGAAATGTTTTTGCTTTCTGATGGCTACATGTATTAAGTCACTGTAGGAATAATTACTGGCATCAGTCTGGACATGATGGAACTCTTCCCGAGTTGTACCTACAATTGCCGCATTTACACTTGATTTTCAGTCAGTCATATGTCAGTGCACCTACCACATTAAGATGAAACAGAGAGGAATAAGAAGACATGAAACAGCACTAGAATAGCACTAGCAGGCAAGCCACATGACACAGCACACGTCAAACTTGAAAGCACATCGATCCGAACTAAAGAGTGCAATGCTGACGTTGACAGTGATGATTATGATCACAAGTTACAAAACAGATTTCAATGTCCGTTTATCACACAATTTGTCAACACGAACGAACACTAGAAAAAACACAGCGTGATTTGGGGAGTCCCAGTCCCAACCAAGGTGTCAACAAGACTGCCAGAATGCGGAGTCACATGATTGAGTAGATCACGTGACTTCCCCACTCGCATTCGTCCATCGCTAGTCGCCGGAAAATCGGTGTTGTAGCCTATTTTGTTCACCAATGTAAGTATCCGACTAGGCTAAAAGACGATTGTTGGGTACTGCAGACGCGTCGGCTTTATGGCCCTATAGTAGCGTCCCCACCGGACTATTTTTTGCCGATCCGTTGTAGCAAACTCGGTGAGGACACGCCTTCATCATAATGGGACGCCGTGGTAATGGCGATCACACGGAGTGAGGCCATCGTCCTTTTGGGCCGGGTGAACTCTAAAAGTGGGGGCCGGGTCGGCACATCTTAAGAGAGACACAACTAGGTGCTAAAATAAAGTGAGTGTTTGAACGAAAAAGTGAATAAGTAAATAGATAAAATGGCAAGCCCCATAATTTCTCTCTCTCTCTGTTTGTCGAAGTGCGGAGGAGTAAAATCCGCCGCCGTGGGGCAGTCGAAATGCAATTCCATTGCAGTTTTACTTCAAGCATGGAGGAAGGAACACATGCTTCAAGCAGCAAGCTAAACAGTAAGCAGGAAAAGTTGGCAGGATCATGATACTTGAATTCAGAACCTTGGAGTTTGTTTCCAAATGACAAGTAAGTTCACCAGCTATGTCTTTCCCATTTCCCCCTGGCAGCAAGTCTTTAATCCTGTCTTCTTCCTTTTTTCGTTTGCAGTACATGTATTGGTTCGCGCACGTTCAATGTTGATTTTTATTTTTCGTGAATTTCGAGTCCTTGCTTCTTGTTGAGTATTTTGTCCTCGGAGAAAACAAGTAAATCAGTCACTTGTGTTTCGTTTCTGTTTTTGTTGGGTTGTTTTTTTGCTTGTTTTGGGAAAGAGCTTTTGTTTTTTATCAAAAGCAAACGCGAGAGTTCAATACAAAAACCATGCCACAGAGTACCGAACATAGAGATGATATAAACTGGACAGCCAAAAAACTTGCCGCTTCTTTCAAAGGCCACACATAAAAATTCACTCCATAGAAATAAACAATTTTTGTACACAGGTATGTTGCAATACCCCTTATGGCATCCCTATACAGAAACCACTCCTGCACATCATTTTGACAGGTGTTCACGTTGTCATTGGTTGTTTAAACTGTTGTCCATTCATGGGTCATTTTTGCTTGGTGGAGAGTGCTTTTGTATGGAATTCCATATCTGCCGTCGCCCGTCGTCTGTCGTCCGTCGCCTTTTGCTTTTTGTCGTGTCCCAATTCTGCCATTTACCAGTTCCAAACATGCCATTTTCCGTTGCCCGTCGTGCGTCTTGCGTCGTCCGTCGTGCGTCGCCCGTCGTTCATCAAATGTTGCATAGGGCCTGCAAAAGCTGGGGTTTAACATATGACAGATATGGAATTCCATACAATGTGCTTTCGGACAAGTTGCATGTTTGTCACAATGTGCTTTTGAACAAGTTGCATGTTTGTCACAATGTGCTTTTGAACAAGTTGCATGTTTGTCGCGAACCTATGGATGCATTTAATACTTGTATAGGTCTATTGCAGTTTTCAATATTCACGGCGTTTCGTAAACTGGCCTGTTATGAATTTGCTCGCCACCCATTCTAGTAAATAGTTATTACCTCCACTCACTTACTTAACTAAAACTGTGAAAAAATTATATATTTTGGGGCGCATTTAAAAGAGTTCATTTTGCACTTCGAAAAAAAAATCGAAAAATCGGGCCAAAATAAAATTTCATTGGAACTTTGTAGCGGATATATGAAATCTACATTTATGAATCAAAATATTTGGAATTTGATTCAATTTCACTTTTCTTGAGATTGAGGTAAAACATTGCTCCTTACACAATCATTCAAGTTAGAAGAGAAAATTCGAAGAGCCCAACGTTAGGGTTCGCGCAGCTTTGGGGGTTCGGCATCTCCAAGTATAACATGAAGCATGCAGCGCCCGAACGAGTGTTGTCATTAAACCGAAACTTTCTGAAGTCCTCGAAACTACAAATTTTGGCGGGCTGGATCAGTGTCTATGCTGGGTGAGCCATGCGACAGTTCTCCTTTCTTTTTAACAGTTTATAAAATGAACAGTGATAAAACAAACAAGATGGATAACACAACTGTAAAAGACAAAAACGAACAGACGCGCCACACAATTTGTGAGGTGCGAACGGCACTTTACGGTACATTTTACAAGTCTATTTATTCTCTCTGGACTGGTTTCTTTCATATCCAGCACGTGAGAGGAGCCAATTTAAGGGTGCAAACCACTAATTCAAGTGAGAATTTCTGACCAGCTCATTAGCATTAAAAGTGCCCCCCACAGTATCTTTTGAAAAAGGAGATTGTTTGGCCCCCAAAATGGTGAGATTGTTTAAATCGTTGCCGGGATCAACTTTCTGGGACTTTGAGCTTTCATATGGGAGCAGAAGGGCTAAAGACAAAGGTTGAAAAATGGTCCTAAGTGCCCGAGAAAGTTGAGGGTTGGCACTTGAAAAATGGCTGTAATCAGACTTCCGAAAAATCACTTTTTGGGAGGTGATTTTGTTTTGTGGGAATAATTAAAAATATAATTGTTAACCCACAAAAAAATTGAAAAGAAATTGAAAGATAANAATGGGGCTGCAGTGTGGGGGTGGTTTAAACCGAAGTGGCGTCACATTTACGAACCGGATTGCGCTCTCTCCAGCTCGAGACTTCATTTCACCAATCGACGGCTCGTTGTACATGTACCGTCTTGGGAATCTCCTACAACCGAGGCGCGGCCTTTGTATGCAAAATAGCAGTTTAATATGAATATTCACAATGACCCTAGGATGCGAAATAGGAAACAAAACAGACCATGGGAGCGTTGGACCGCGGCCGGCGCTATTATCATCGATCGTGACAGTTAAGAACCAGTACATTCAAAGTCGTTAGCGCTTGAACATGTACTGTACATTATGTCGCATGATAGGTCATGTGATGCAGGTCATTGATCCATATTCATCACATACAGATTCAACTGGAATTTCCCGGGCCGCTGATTGGTTGCTCCGGAAATCCGAAGGAAAACTGAAGAAAAAGTTAAACAGTTTGCAGGAGATTCCCAAGACTAGTGAGAACGAGACGTCCGTTGGTGAAATTAAGACACGAGAGGGCGCAATGGAAATCAATCGCATATTATTTTATGCTCGATCGTACGGTGTCTGATCTCCGCCAAGAATACACTTTTTTATTTTAAGGCGTTATATCGCCCCAATACGGCGTTATAACGCCCTAATTTAAGATGTAATAACGCCCAAATTTAGGGCGTAAACACGCCCTAATTTCAGGCGTTATAACGCCCTATTACGGCGCAATAACGCCCTACGGCCGTTTAACAATAGGACACCTCCAAGAGTTTGCAACGCGTTGGCCAATCACAACGTTCGAAATTTGTCGACCCTTTTCAAACGCGCATTGGGTCGACGACCTTCGCGCATTGTGATTGGCCAATACGTGGCAAACTCTTGGTGGCGCACTATTGTGAAACGGCCGTATTGAGGCGTTATAACGCCGCTATAGGGCGCCATTACGCCGTAAAAGGGCGTTTATTACACCTGAAATTAGGGCGTTATTACACCATAAATAAAGACGTTGTTACGCCTTAAATTAGGGTTTTATAACGCCGTAAAATGAAAAAGTGTATTCCTGGCGGAGATCAGCCAGCGCACGATCGAGTCCGCTATCGAGTGCCGCCTTGGCCCAAGACTACCGCGCCCAGAGCGCTAGCGCTGTGCCGCTTGCACGCGTTGTACGTAAGTACAGTCCCCATGGCCCATAGACTGTGCATGCATTTAGTTGTGTAGTCGTGCATGCGCAATAGTCACATATGGTCGTCTGCCTGAAAAATTATTCGAGCAGACGACGCGTAGCCTTGGTGACCCATATCAGGGATTTGCACCTGCATTTCCCTTGAAGACCTTATGTGTGAATAAATTGCCAAGAATCTTTTGAATGGTGATATTTAATAGCTTCTAGTTAAAAAGCTCTCCAGAAAATAATCAAAGAAGTGGAAAATGTCAACTTTACGACAAAGGATAATTACATGTATAAAAATATTATAGTTTTTTACCTAACTTATAAATTTATATCTCATTTTCACAATTTTACTGGGTTTACCTTCAAATAACTTTGATGCCACATGAAAGACCAGTAACTTTTATGAACAAAAAAGTTTATTACTTCTAGGCAGAAACCCTTTTTTGAAATTCACTTCGTTTTTCATTGGGACCCATTTTCGTCATCTTTTCAAGACCAAGAGCCATTTGTCTGAAATTGCGGTCGTTTTCATGCAGATCTCATTTATATGGTTTTCTTCTTGCATGATACTTTCTCCTGTTCATAACAATAGTAGAGAAATGTCAGGGAAAACTCGGCAAAACTAAAAAAATCCCGTCTGAAATGTTGGCTTCACTTCCAACTTTTGACTCTGCTACTTTGGAGGTACGTAAGAAAGACGGGTAAAATTTTAAAAAACTTGGCAGAAAATGGATTTTTATTGTGAGCAAGTTAGCAAAAGGGACTTTGAGTGTACTAATCAATATGGAAATGAGGGGGGCAAACAACTATATCTGAGCTTGATGTTGATCGACTACTTTTGGGGTCCACCTGTCCGCGTCAAGAGCCATTTAACTGTCTTCTGGGTGTAGTGGGATTCAGTACGCATGCCCACAAACTAACGCACGCGGTACCGGTATCACGGGAAATGTTTGTCATGCCCACGTGCAGTCCATACTGTTCTCACGTATGTCCCCGGCGGTAATACAGTTCGTGCGCATCGAAAAATGTCTACCCCGCTCCAGCTATTTTCTACGGTGCTCTGGAAGTGCCATCCGACTCGCTGAGATCCTGAGTCATTTTTTCTCGGGATGAAGACATCATACAGGAGGGATGTCGACATCCTGAGATAATTTATCACGTGATGACAGCATCGTGAAAGTTGGCTGACGACATCCTGAGATAATTTATCACGGGATGACGACATCGTAAAAGTTACGTCCTTCCGAGATAATTATCACGCAATGACGACATCCAGCGAGTGTCCATCGTTGCGGTCTGAGCACCAGTAGCGTGGT